CAAATTGATTATCCCCAACTTGTCTTGATGGTCAGCAAAGGGACGTAAGCCCTTCTGCACACTTCAGTCACAATTCAGCCTTCCACTCTTGGATTACTACAAATATTCCCAAATTAGCTACTGTTTGCTCCATAGCCCGCACCTTCTCAAAATGATGCATAAGCCAGGGATTTCTTAACTAACTAAAACCACTCCATCAATGAATGACATTTCTCTCTTCTATAACCTGTTTTAAGACAAGGTCACTTGCTCTAAGTTAACTTCCTTTCAGAAGTGGGAAGTAGACTTAATCTCTATTTTCACGGACTCCCAGTGGACCGCAGCCCTGCAGTGCAGTCCCGATCCTCCTCTTCTGGGGGGCCCCCCGCTGGCGCTCCTGGCCCCTCCCTCCTGTTGGGTGCCCCTACAGCAAGCAGCTTGTAAAGGGGCACCCACTACTGTGTCCATTCACTTACGGAGCTGGTGCTCAGCCCCACCCCCTTTCTTCTCATTGGCTCACTGGCTGTGATTGACAGCAGTGGGAGCCGATGGCTTCTGTCTCAGCCAATGAGGAGAGGGAGTGCCGGGATAGTCAAGAATCTAGTGCACATCTCTGGATTGAGAGGGGCCTTAGGCGAGTGGGGGGGGGGGGGGGGGGTGCTGGCATCGATGCTGCAGAGAGGAGGTTGGAATGCATGAAGGTAAAAAACCTTGAGCCTTTAGAACCACTTTAATCTCTGATGATACATTGTGCCCCGCCTCTTAAGTAAATTTGACCCCTCTGCTTCTCCTCTTTTTTGGAGATATTGAATTTAGACATTGAACATTTACTGCCTCATACGAGACTCTTTATTACCCATATATTATTGGCTGCAAGATTAGCTACAGTCCACCATTGGAAATCTCCTGACCCTGTATCCAGATTGGAAGTCATGTCTGTAATCCACGCTCATGGTTTATATGAGCGTATTCTAACTGCCAGCAAAGATCGTTTACACTCAGTGTCATCTTACTTTGATTGGATTAACTGGCATGAGAAGCTTAATAATTATCCATGATGTATTTGCTAGCTTGTCATGGTAGGGCTTCTTCCTTTTTTTGTTAATATTCCTTAATATTGTTTGAGTATATTTTACCTTCCCATTTATGCCAATCCAGTTGCCACCAAAGCCTAGATGTGGAAATACCTTATTGTTATTGCATACTTTCCTGTATTCTTCTTTTTTTCTTTGATTTTGTACAACCGTTTGATTGGGGACCCTCCATGTAGCATCAAAGAGTGCAGTCTTCACCCATAGCCCTGTTGTACTTGCAGTCAGATTAAAGTGATTCTAAAGGTTCATTTTTTTTTCTGGAAAATAACAAACATGCTATACTTACCCACTGTGTGCAGTGGTTTTGCACAGAGCAGCCTCAATCCTCCTTTTTTCGGGTCCTCCGCAGGCTCTCCTGGCCCCTCACTTATGTCGGGTGCCCCCACAGCAAGTAGCTTGCACTGGAGGCACTTGCGGCTTGGCCCCACCCCCAAGTCACTAGATCAGCATGACCATTCAACTTGCATTTTAAATGGCATAACCAATGGTGGGGTACACACACACACGTACACACACACACATACACACACACACACACACACACACGTTCCATAGCTTGGGTTTCCTCCCACAATCCAAAAATGCACTGTTTGTCCTTTGACAGCACATGCTGTTGTGTGTCAGAATGACTAGTTAGGTTTCTCAACATAGGATGTTTCATAGCAATCCTTATGAGCTAGAATGCTGATTCTTTAATGAATACACAACCTTCTGGTGATTGCCAGTATAGCAGTTAAGCGTTGCACCCAGGGACCTTATCTGCATGGTAGTGTACACTCACCAGCTACTTTATTAGGTACACCTGTTCAATTGCTTGGTTACACAAATTGCTAATCAGCCAGTCACATGGCAGAAGCTCAATGCATTTAGGCATCTAGATGTGGTGAAGACGACTCGATAAAGTTCAAACCAAGCATCAGAATGGGGATTTAAGTGACTTAGAACATGGCATGGTTGTTGGTGCCAGACGGGCTGGTCTGAGTATTTCAAACACTGCTGATACTGGGATTTTCACGCACAACCATCTCTAGGGTTTACAGAGAAGGGTCTGAAAAAGAAATATCCAGTGAGTGGCAGTTGTGTGGACAAAAATGCCTTGTTGATGTCAGAGGTCAGACTAGTTTGATATGATAGAAAGGCAACAGTAACTCAAATAACCACTCGTTACAACCAAGCTGTATGTAGAATACAGTCTCTGAATACACACCACTCCTGTCAGCTAAGAACAGGAAACGGAGGCTACAATTCGCACAGGCTCACCAAAATTGGACAATAGGAGATTGGAAAAAGGTTGCCTGGTCTGATGAGTCTTGATTTCAGCTGCGACATTCAGATGGCAGCGTCAGAATGTGGTGTAAACAACATGAAAGCATGGATCCATCCTTTCTCTTGTATCAACGGTTCAGGCTGCTGGTGGTGTGTAATGATGTGGGGGAAATTTTCTTGGTACACTTTGGGCCCTTTGGTACCAATTGAGCATCCTACCTGAGTATTGTTGCTGACCATGTCTATCCCTTTATGGCTACAGTGTACTCATCTTCTGATGGCCACTTCTAGGAGGATAATTCACCATGTAACAAAGCTCAAATCAAGCTGGTCTCTTGAACATGACAATGAGTTCACTGTACTCCACTGACCTTCATAGTCGCCAGATCTCAATCCAATAGAGCACCTTTTGGATGTGGTGGAATTGGAGATTCACATCATGAAGGTGTAGCTGACAAATCTGCACCAACTGCATGATGCTATTATGTCAATATAGACCAAAATCTCTGAGGAAGCTTTCTAATATCTTGTTGAATCTATGTCATGAAGAATTAAGAAGAGAAGAATTAAGAGTTTGGAAGGCAAAAGGGGGTCCAACTTGGTACAAGCAAGGTGTACCTAATAAAGACAGAGCAGGATTTTTCAGTGATATATACAGCGGGGCAAAAAAGTATTTGGTCGGCCACCAATTGTGCAAGTTCTCCCACTTAAAAAGATGAGAGAGGCCTGTAATTGGTATCATAGGTAGACTTCAACTATGAGAGACAAAATGAGAAAAAAAAATCCAGACAATCACATTGGCTGATTTGGAAAGAATTTATTTGCAAATTATGGTGGAAAATAAGTATTTGGTCAATATCAAAAGTTCATCTCAATACTTAAATATCCTTTGTTGGCAATGACAGAGGTTAAATGTTTCCTGTAAGTCTTCACAAGGTTGGCACACACTGTTGCTGGTATGTTGGCCCATTCCTCCATGCAGATCTCCTCTAGAGCAGTGATGTTTTGGGGCTGTCGCTGGGCAACACGGACTTTCAACTCCCTCCAAAGGTTTTCTATGGGGTTGAGATCTGGAGACATGCTAGGGCACTCCAGGACCTTGAAATGCTTCTTACGAAGCCACTCCTTCATTGCCCGGGCGGTATGTTTGGGATCATTGTCATGTTGGAAGACCCAGGCACGTTTCATCTTCAATGCCCTTGCTGATGGAAGGAGGTTTGCACTCAAAATCTCACGATACATGGCCCCATTCATTCTGTCCTGTACATGGATCAGTCGTCCTGGTCCCTTTGCAGATCAACAGTCCCAAAGCATGATGTTGCCACCCCCATGCTTCACAGTGGGTATGGTGTTCTTTGGATGCAACTCGGCATTCTCTCTCCTCCAAACACGACGAGTTGTGTTTCTACCAAACAGTTCTATTTTGGTTTCATCTGACCATATGACATTCTCCCAATCCTCTTCTGGATCATCCAAATGCTCTCTAGCAAACTTCAGACGGGCCCAGACATGTACTGGCTTAAGCCGGGGGACACGTCTGGCACTGCAGGATCTGAGTCCCTGGCGGCGTAGTGTGTTACTGATGGTAGCCTTTGTTACGTTGGTCCCAGCTCTCTGCAGGTCATTCACTAGGTCCCCCCGTGTGGTCCTGGGATTTTTGCTCATCGTTCTTGTGATCATTTTGACCCCACGGGGTGAGATCTTGCATGGAGCCCCAGATCGAGGGAGATTATCAGTGGTCTTGTATGTCTTCCATTTTCTAATTATTGCTCCCACAGTTAATTTGTTCACACCAAGTTGCTTGCCTATTGCAGATTCAGTCTTCCCAGCCTGATGCAGGTCTACAATTTTGTTTCTGGTGTCCTTCGACAGCTCTTTGATCTTCACCATAGTGGAGTTTGGAGTGTGACTGTTTGAGGTTGTGGACAGGTGTCTTTTATACTGATAACAAGTTCAAACAGGTGCCATTGATACAGTTAATGAGTGCAGGACAGAGGAGCCTCTTAAAGAAGAAGGTACAGGTCTGTGAGAGCCAGAAATCTGCTTGTTTGTAGGTGACCAAATACTTATTTTCCACCATAATTTGCAAATAAATTCTTTCCAAATCGGCCAATGTGATTGTCTGGATTTTTTTTTTCTCATTTTGTTTCTCATAGTTGAGGTCTACCTATGATGCCAATTACAGGCCTCTCTCATCTTTTTAAGTGGGAGAACTTGCACAATTGGTGGCTGACTAAATACTTTTTTGCCCCACTGTAAATGGAAAGCAAACTTTGCACCATGCCCTCCAATACCACCAATAACTGCTAAAATAACTGTATTTTGTTATTGTACAAGACTCCAGCAGCTATACTGTGTAGAAAAGCTAACGTGCTGTTTTGCACTAGAAATTCACTGTAAATCTATGTAGTGACCTGGGAAAGCTCATCAGAGAGCCTCGTCAGAGATTTATTACTTGCCTCCTGCAACTTGGTAATTGTACATGTTGTACAAGTAAACTATAGTTTACTCAATCATTAAGACCCAGGTAATGTTCAGGCAAAACTAAGGTGATAAGACAACATTGGAAACTGAATTTTTTTTTGTTTAATCTTTTATGTTAACGTTTTGTTTTTTTTTTTTGTTTTTGTTTTTTGTTTTTTTTTTCTTTTCATCCTGTAGGATAAATGATGAAGATGTTCGGCTTATGCTGTGGGACACAGCTGGGCAAGAAGAATTTGATGCAATTACTAAAGCATACTACAGAGGTTAGAACATTAGAACAAACCCTGTATCTTGTATATATCACTACGTCCAATCCATTCCAAAATATAAAACAAATGGAACTTTTTTTTGGTTTTATTGTTTCATGCTGGGCTTTTTTATATCACGTAGTCAAAAGCAAAGGGTGCCTATGCTAGCTTGATTTGTTTAAATCCTCCCCTTCTAATGCTTACTGATATGCACCATGGGATTTTTTTCCTGTATTATAGTAAAGGGCAAAATTGGCTATGAGGGCTTCCAAGCACATTTGGTTACTGATTTATTATTATTTTATTTATTTATTTCAGGTACTTGTATAGCGCTGTCAATTTACGCAGCGCTTTACACATATATATATTGAACATTCACATCAGTCCCTAACCCTCAAGGGGTGTACAATCTAAGGTCCCTAACTCACATTCATACAAACACATATTAGGGCAGGGGTGGGCAAACTTTTTGACTTGAGGGCCGCAATGGGTTCATATATTGGACCCGGGGGCCGGACCAAGAGTAGATGAATGATGTGTATGTGTCATCCATAGTAAGTATAGTAATATTCCCCCATAGTAAGCATAGTAATTAATTCCCCCTATAGTAATTCATCCCCCCCTATAGTAATTCATCCCCCCCTATAGTAATTCATCCCCCATATTAATTCATCCCCCATATAGTATTTCATCCCCCACAGTACTATTCCCCCCCCCCAAGTAGTAAGCCAAGTCCCCCCTGTATCAATTCACTTACCTTTGCTCCGCGCGTTCCTCTCGCCGTGTTCCCTGCGCCGTTCCGGTCTTCAGGGCGGACTGTGAGAGGAGCCTAGCTCCCCTCACGTTCCTCACGCTGCCCCGCCTACACACATTCTGACAGCCGATGTTTGCCACGCTCCGCGGGCCGGATTAAAAGGTCCGCCGGGCTGTAGTTTGCCCATTGCTGTATTAGGGTCAATTTAGACAGGATCCAATTATCCTACTGATAATTTAATACAGTTGCTTGGGGTTACATTTACCAAACAGCAGGACTCCTAAAGCTCTTTGAACCTCCTAGTCAACATTTCAAACCTTTATACGGAAACATTCATAGAATTAGTTGAGGGTGCAACTGAACAGCTGCCTTCCTTAAATGGTCTGGTCATTGTTCATATACTGTAAACTGTTTACTGTTTTGTCTGTATTGCTAAACAGGGTTTTACAGGGGTGAGTAGAGCTGTTTTTAGTAAATGGGGAAAGCAATTTGAAACCCATTTTAAGCAGAGGATGCATCATATTTAAAACACGAGCATTTAATTTAATTAAGGCAGAATTAAAGCCTTTCATTATCTTCTGACAGTGATGCAATTATTGATGGAGTGATGAAATCATAGTAGTGTATTTCATTGTTTCATGGAAAGATTGAGTTGAAGCATTTTTGGTCCATGGCTCCATAGATAAACCAGCACTTTTTTTTTTTTTTTTTTTTTTTTATAAAAAATAGGACACACTCCGTATTTTTATTCACACAGATTCCATTTAAGATATAAATACTGATTGCTCTTTATGCAGAGCATTGTGACAAAGGAGATGTCATTTGTTTTTTTCTATCACATAAAATAATGTGTAAGATCAACAAATGAAATGGAACAAGGCTGCTCAAGCCCAATCCTTCTGGGATCCTACATGGCAGGCTTTATTAAGGGTACATGTGTGTTTTAAAAGGACATTGCAGAGGCAAAGTAACTGTTAATGATACAGCTAGATCACTAGAGACCCTATCAGTTTTTCTGTAGGGATATGATAATTATTACTAAACATGAATCATTTTAAAGTGTGGAAACAGCGTGAGTAATACAGTTTACCTAGGAGAACAAACCCAACGCAAGACTAAATACTCATTTTTAATTATACTATTTATGAAATATTACAATTGTGCATTGTATATAGACCTTCATGATGTAATATTGTCTGCACAGGACAAGAAGGTTTTTTTTCTGCAGGTAATAAGGACAGCAGAATAACAAGTCTCTAGTGAACATGCATTTTTAGTCCACTTAACTCATCTAATCCTCTGATCTCCGACAAACGGGCTACTCTTTTCTATGATCAAGTATAATAGCTTCCAGGACAGTTATTCATGCAGTAGGAAAACCATACCCAGTTTCCATTTAGCTGTGTACTTTAACCACTTTCCACACCATAGACTTTTACCCTTTCGTTCCCAGGCCATTTTTCAGTTTTAAGTATCACCCTTTGAATAACAATTTAGTCATGTAATACTGTACCCAAAGGAATTTATATCATTTTTGGAGACAGATAAATCTTTTGTCTTTTGATAGTATCTAATCGCCACTGTGTTTGTTTGTTTTTTTGTTATAAAGGAGAAAATTTAGGGAAAAATGTTTTCTTATTTCCTGTGTTAACTTTCCAATAAATCTTTCTTTATGTATCTGGGCCAAAGTGCATTGTGCTACATTTCTTTGGTAAAAATAATGTGAATCCATGTATACTGAACCCTTTTTGGAAAGCAGACAGACCAAGGTATTTGGTAAAAGCCATGGTGTTTTTTTGTTTTTTTTTTTTTTTTTTTCGAAAATTGAAGACATTAAATCATTTTTTTCCTTTTCACAAAGTTGTCATTTTAACAAGTTTATTTCTCACACACAAAATATGCATACTTAGTTACACCCCAAAAAGCATTCCCCAAGTATGGGGATAACACACTTTGTTAGACTCTTTTTTTCACCGCATAATGTGGATGTGGCAGGTGGAGTAGATAAGTAGTAATAGGACACAGTTTAATGTGTGTTGCCGTTGATGTGTCCTGTATGGTGGTCTGGGTCGCTGTGTTCTGCAGCAGAGTGTATGCAGACGGAGGGATACAAATTGAGAGGAGAGCGAGTGCTGAGGTAAGGGGTGCGGGAAGGGCAGCTTGTCAGCGTATCCGAGAAGGAGGAGGAGAGTAATAAGTGTGGTCGTGGCCAGGACTGAATGGGGCCACCGAGCGGAGTGGATGGACAGGGAGCCGCTGAGCTAGTGAGAGGCCGGTGGAGAGGGGACTGCCTGCAATGTCCGTATGTGTTGTAACACATTTATAGTAACTTCTCAAACACAGGAAAATCATACAAAACCCGAGGATATAGTTTGTTCAGTGGTGGGGAATGAAAAATAAAAAAAAAAGTAGAGCATATGCTATTTTTTTTTTCAGTAGTGGTATAATCTTGGCTCCTGGAACTCAAGGCAAATTGTCTTTTCTGTGATTTGGGCAAAAATGGCCAATGTGTCTCAATGCATTTGGTGTGAATACGCTCCAAAATAACCATACCGTATGCCAGGTGTACTTCTCAGGTACAGTTTTAGTATTTAAACCAAAAACAGGATATATTACGGATTATCCGTCATTAGATGTAGTGGCTGCATTAGTTTTTTTTCCATTTTTTTTTTTTTTTTTTTTTTTTTTAGGATTTTTTTTCTCTTGGTTTTTAACCTGGTGATCTGGTCAGGAACACACCTCTCTTGTATTAGTGCCCGGTCATACTGGGTGCGACTTGCCATGCAATTTGCCATGTGATGCAAGTTTCAAATTGCATGGCAAGTTGCACTCTAGTGTCCACAATTAAAGCGGTCATATCGGTGCAATTCCAACTTGATCAGAGTCGCACCAATTTTGGTGCTGAAACTTCAGGTGCAACTTGCTTAGGCATCTGTGTCTTAAAAGTCGCAGATGTCTTGCAAGTTATACCTTGAGTTGGAATGACATCCGACTTTGAAATCGCGTGACTTCACTGGCGGTCGGAGTGGTGTGATCGGGGACTTAGAGTGCCCCCACTCTGGATGAAAGGGGGATATTAACATAATGTAATTTCAAGTCCTTTTTAATATTTATATATTTTGAAATGTACCTTTTTTAATTAAAATTATACCTGGTACTTCCTTTGTGCAGGATCTTCCTGTTATAGGGTGATAATGCTCTGTCCTTGTCTCTTAACTGCAGTGTCACCCTAGCTTTTCAATGGAGTGACCATTTCAGCACACGTTGCACAGGCATGGCTGTTCTCACCATCAGGACGCCCACCCTTAGAAATGACATGCTGCCATCACTGTAGTACATTAATGTAGACAGGAAATGTCTGTAAAGAGGTTACAGGAGATCAACAGCATTGAGATGCCCCACCTCCCCACGAGGTAATGGCATAGTGTGCTAGTATGCATCACATACAAGCACATTGTGAAAGACTTGCATGTAAAAAAAGTCCTCCAGTGGTGTGCTGTCACCACTTATAGGGCTTCCCTCTTCACCCGGTGTTCCTTCCAATTTTGCACCTCCAGCCATTTAAACGACCAAGCTGTAATGACATCATTCCTGCACATGCGAACAGGAGCCACAGTTGTGGAGCAGCACTCTGAAGGGACAGCATACTCTATGCACATGCTCCGGTTATGTCACCAGCTGCAGAACATAAATCTCTCCTAAACAGTGCACGTTTAGGAGATACTCATTTTACCTACAGGTAAGCTTTATTATAACCTTAACTGCAGGTAAACATTTAATACCACTTTAAATACAGTGCTTTAGCAAACTAAGAGACCCATTTATTAAGCAGTTGTATGGCCACCATAATACTGCTTTTTAGCAAAAAAAAAAAAAAAAGGCCCATGTATATGGCACAATGATCTGCTTAACAAAATTGTGCTTGGCCCTTTTCTGCTTGCTTCAAACTTCTTCTTTTAAAATAAATAGTGTTAAAAAAAAAAAAAAGGAGAAAAGTCCAGGACTTTCCGTATGGCTCTACACCACAGGCTGCATTTTTTAATGTAATCTGGTGTAGAAGGGCCAATTCATGCATAGTGCATACATAGTTTTTCCACACTGAAGAAAGCCAGTCACCATTAGGACACACAGAAATCAGTCATTTTCTATGTGTTCTGTTGACACTGCAGTTCAGTCTGGAGCTGCGCTGCAATGCTCTGCAGTACAATGCAGACATGCTGTATTTTATCGCTGCGTTCTGAGCTGGGTCGCATGTCACAGTACAGTAGCACAATGCAGCATGCTGCTGTACAGTGACATGAGTGAAGTATCACTTTTGGGCACTTCAAATAAAGTTTATTTAGCTGAAATGGACAGCCGCTAGACACTAAGCAGCTGTGGTTTAATGTGTGGTAGCTGTCTACGTGTGTATGGGCCCTAACAAAGAGAGGATAGCGTTATCTGCTGTATGTCATAAACTGGCCCCAACATGACTTTTAAATTGGATTTCATTTACTTTAATCACCTCCATTGTCTTCTAGGTGCCCAAGCTTGTGTGTTGGTATTTTCTACAACAGACAGGGAATCTTTTGAAGCAGTTCCCAACTGGAAGGAGAAAGTCATGGCTGAAGTTGGGGACATTCCCACAGTTCTTGTTCAGAATAAAATTGACCTGCTTGATGATACAGTTATTAAGAAGTAAGTCAGCATTCCCTTGATATTTTCATCCTATTGATACAAAGATATATATATATTTTTTTTTTTTTTTCCTTTTTAAAAAGATTTCCAGTTGATATGGAGATTTTGCAGTGGCTAAACTGGTCTATTACTCTGTCCACACCTTTCTGAGATGTCAGAGCAATATTAGTCCTTCTTTTGTTTGTAAAACGTGCAGAGGTTAAGCCTCCTTTCTGCACAAAAGGGGTACAGGGTTGTTTTTATAGAACAAGCAGCACAGTGGCTAAATGGTTAGCACTTCCGCCTGGCAGTACTAGGGCAGTTGGTTTGAATCCCAACCACGGCACCACCTGCCTGGAGTTTGCATGTTCTCCCTGTGGAGTGTGAGAGGAAACCGGAGTACTCGAAGGAAACCCACGCAGGCAAAGACATGCTGCTAGGTGAATTGGCTGCTGTCTAAATTGGCCCAAGTATGTGTATGTATAAATGTAAGTTAGGGACCTTAGATTGTACACCCCTTGAGGGTTAGGGACTGATGTAAATGTACAATATATATGTAAAGCGCTGCAGAAATTGACGGCGCTGTATAAGTACCTGTAATACATAAAATTACTTGAGACACACTTGCATGTGTGAGAATAGCTAAATGGTCAATGGACCAAGTTTTGTGTGCAGTTGCTACTGTACTCATATGTCACGGAATGGTAGAAACAAAGGACAAGCTGTCCTTTTTACATTAGCTCGCTATAGTTGAATAATTCCAAGAAAATTAGACAATTTCAATTTCAGTTAGTGACTACTCAACAAAAGAAATGTCTCCACTGGCATAGCCAAACACTCTAAAATGTAAACCGAGAACAGGCTTCTTGAGCCCAAGGTTCTGTTTTCTATTTAAACAAAGCTAGCATATATTGGGCCTCCCTATTCCTGAAGGTATCCCTGCTGCCTAGTTGGAATGCTTTCCCATGCCATTTTAATCAAAGCAGGTCATTTTTAATCCTGGCCACTAACTGTTTGTTTAGTTTGTAGAGTATAGATATTTACTGTACCTTGTGCCAAGAGCTTCTGTCCCCTTCCCAGGGCATTTTAAAAACACAAGCTTGTTCTGGCACATAGACACAGTAAATAACAAAGCAGGTACAAGGATGTCAGCCCTGGGACTTGCACCTTCATAAGTAAGTCAGTATTGGCATCTTCTGCCATAATACATATGACCATAACAGACCTGCATATTTCTAAAGGTGAAAAGTCAGCTTTGCTATGAATATGAGCTACTGTAATTAAAATAAACACAATAACAAACAATTGAAGTAAACTATACTGTATATTAGTGTACTAGTATAAACAAGCGCCATCTAGTGGCTGCAGACTGGTATTCTATGAAAACCATTCATGACAGCTCAAATAATTGCTGTTACAGTAAGAAAAAAAAAAAATCCATGATCACATTTATTTTTTTTGTTTAATTTGTGTTTTACATACTGAATCTCTGATCATTGCCACACTAGTCAATTGATGTTGTACTGCACTGGTGACAGTATTTAAAAAAAATTTGTGAATAAAAACAAATTTTATTTAGTTTCTTCATTTTCCAAACAAATGTGGCAAACTACAACTTCAAAAAACTCGCCATGCCTCTTAAAATACCTTTTGGGCTCTCTACTTTCCAAAGAGGAGTCATTTGGATATATTTGTACTGTCCTGGCATTTTTGGGCCTCAATAAATGAGAGAGGCCATCAGGACTCTACCATATTTATGCAACTTATCCAAGAGTGATCTTATTGACAATCTCCTCAATTCATCCTTGAGGTCCTTTATCAATGGGATCCAAATCAAATTTATACTGAAAATTTATTTTGGTGATAATTAATACCACTAGGTTTTAAAACTTGTTATATAAAAAGGAACTTAATACTGATTATTTGTGAGAAAAAAAAAATAAATTACTCTTCATAATTTTAGGCTATTGTGTATTTTGCTACATTTTACTATAGTATATTTCTGAAAATTGATTAAGATGGTGATAGTCCCAGAGATTCTGTATAAACTTCATATGCTCCCAATATATATTTACTGAGGTCATTTTTTGACATTATAAAAGGGATGATTCTTAAATATATATGGGCAAATAAAAAAAAAAATAGAGCTGTGACACACTATGTAAAGACAGAATTAATGGTGGCTTAAATGTGCCAGACTTTAGGAGATATTACTGCTCTGTATTGATTTCTCGAATAGCAGATTGGACATATAATTTAGAGGGGAAAAGATGGGTAAAGATAGAAAGTACACTGAGTGAGACACAATTAGAGACGATAATCTGGCTTCCACAACAGTATCGAAATCTCTCTGAAAACACAAGCAATCCAGCATGGAATGTTTGAAATATATGGGATAGAATCTATAAACAAAGGGGGTGGGAGTATAATTCACTGTTATTACCACTGGAGGGAACAGATCCCTCCCCCCCCGCACCCCCCCCCCCCCCCCCCCCCCCCCCAGGAAAAGAGAATATCACAGGCAAATGGATAAAAGAGAGACATGCACGTTTGAAAGTTATCACTAACAAAGGGGAATTGTGTTCTTTTGTAGATTTGAAAGATTAGACAGAAGTATTTTTTAGGTAAGATGAGTGGTATTACTAACAACTAAGACATTTTGTAATTGCGCTCCCGTGGCCACTAAGAACGGGGGAAGACTTGTATCCATTTGAGAAAAACATAATACGAAAACATGTTACTTCTCAGATATATAAGATTCCACCCCATTCATATGAATATAGTAGAAATGAATTATAAATGTTTAGTAAGGCAGTACATTACACCCAGTGTGGAAATAATTTAGGAGCAGAAAGTTCACTTTTATGTTGGAGGGGATGTGGGATGAAGGGGTCAATGGCACGTATTTGGTGGGAATGTCCTAAAATACAGGAATTTTGGCAGGGAGTAATACCACAAATACAGGAGATAATGGATATTAGTGCATTGAAGGACCTTTTGGGTTTGTTTATTTCACAATTCAGAGTATACAGTGAAACAATATGAGAGCATGATGACATTTCATTTATTAAATGTGGCTAAAGGACTGATTCCCAAATTCTGGCAAACACTAGAAACCCCAAAAATAAAAGATTGGATAAATAGAGTGAAGTATATACATAGGATGGAGGAACTATATCACACTAGAAAGAAAAGATTTAAGAAAATCCGGGACAGATTGGAAATATTTGGAAGTGATCAGAGTGTAAAGGGAGGGTGTGATATGGATAGAAACAAGCACCCTAATAGTAGTTGGTAGGTAGAGAAAGAAGGGAGTGAAAAAGAAAACCGGTAGGATTAAATAGTGGAACAGATAGGAAAGATGAAGGAGGGGAGGTAGGGTAAGGGTATAATATGTAAAAATTTGTTATGGAAACTGTGATTGTAATGTTTTGAAAAATTTGTTGCATTTATAATGAAAAATTTAATAAAAATATAATTAAAAAATAAATTTAAGTTTGACAAAAGCGTTGCATGACCATGCAATTGCCAGTTAAAGTTGTGCTGAATAGCAAAAAGTGCCCTAGTCACCTGGTCATAAAGGGGGTAAAACCTTCCGGAAGCCCAATGGTTAACCAGTACAACTGTTGATAGGATTTGATGAAGGTCTATCTAAATGTTAATGAGATTGACCATTTTTTTCTCTTTGCAAAGACAAACAATCTTTGTATGTTTAAATCCTCATCTTTGATGGGCCACTTATCATGTTTTCAGCTCTGCTGCCGTAATACAAGATTTTAAGTATGACCTGAGAAAATACAAAGTGACAACTTGTGAAGCTGAATTACTTTGCAGGCTTTCTATAACCTAGTATACTTTTAACTGCAAAGAGTTTATAAGGACTGCCGGGTCAGGTGTTTTAAAGTGATATGAAAGATTTGTTTGCTTTTTTTTTTTTTTTTTGCTTTTTTTTTAACCCTGATTCTCCTCTTCTGGGGTCCCTCACCAATGCTCTGGGCTCCAAGCTGCTTGCTCTGGGGTCACTCATGCATGCTCACTCCCGAGCCCTGTGTGTGTGTGTGTGTGCATAAGACACACAGAACAGGGCTCTGCTCCACTCCCCACTCCTCATCATTGGCTCTGATTGACAGCAGCAGGAGCCAATGAGGAGTGAGAGAGCCGAGACAGCCTCGGCTTTCATGCACATTGCTGAATAAAGATGGGGCTCATGTATGTATTTAGGAGGAGAGCTGCAGGGGAAGTTATGCAGAAGGTGTGTGTTTTTTTTTTTTTTTTGTTTTTGTTTTGTTTTTTTACCTTCCTGCATAACCTGCAGTAAGGTTAAAAAAAACCTTCTGCCTTTTACAACCACTTTTCCCTCCCATTTTGCTTTAGGAATCATGCAAAATTGTGTGCACATTTACTTTAGATGTTTTGCTGAGTCCAGAGCATCTAAATAGAAAGCTTAAATTTTCCATTTTTGGTAAAATTCATAACTTCTCAAGCTGGCCATAAATATAACAATATGGTTAATATAAGGTTTGTTTTGATGAAAGGATTATTACCTTTTGTATCACTCAACCCTTCCTCTTAGATTGTAAGCTCTAACGAGCAGGGCCCTCTGTATTGTATTGTACTGTTATGTATACCTTCATTTTGTAAAGTGCTGCACAAACTGTTGGCGCTATATAAATCCTGTATAATAATAATTGCTATTTCTAGAAATCAACTGCAGAAAATAATTGTTTTGCTAGGCAAACCACTGTTTTGATAGAAAAGGAAAGACCCATACTGTTTTAAACAAAAAGCCCTTGAGAGCCGTTTTGACTTATTTGCACATCAGATGCGTTTTGAACAGATTCACGTCACATGTGAAAGAACATTGATTTCTATTGCGTTGGTTCACATATATTTGGTGCAGCCAGAGTGCAGATTCAGTGTGAATTCAAAAAGGATCCTGTATGTTTTTCTGAGCAGTGCGGGTCCTGTTCAGGTGAGAATTCAGGCTCATTGACTTCTATGAGAATAGCTTCTAAAGCACACGTCATTCGTTTGTGAACACAATTTTAGCGTGGTTTTCTCTCTTCAAATCCTGTCCTCAACCGTTCAACTACTTTAAATTCGCACTGAAATCAGAGCTCAAAACTGCATCACACCTAGTGTGAATCCACTCTTAGATGATCAAATCTGTGATTATTCATTTATCATCACATGTAAGGCCACTATTGTTATAATTATTATTATACAGGATTTATATAGCGCCAGCAGTTTGCTCAGTTCAATACAAGAGGGTTAGGAGCTTACAATCTAAGAGGGAAGGGCTAGTGGTACAAAAGGTAGCAACTGTAGGGGATGAACTGGTAGGAGGAGTAGAAGATTCCATTATTGGCTGAGGGCAGGATAGGCTTCCCTGAAGAGAGAGGTTTTCAGAGATCGCCTAAAAGTGAGCAGAGTAGGTGATAGTCTGACAAATTTTGGTAGAGAGTTCCAGAGGATGCTGGAAGCTCTGGAAAAGTCCTGGAGACGAGCATGGGAGGAGTAGACAAGGGAGCTAGAGAGCAGGAAGTTGTGCGAGGAGCGGAGAGTGCAGTTTGGGTGATATTTGGAGACAAGATTGGTGATGTAATTTGGGGCAGAGTTATACATGACTTTATATGTTATTGTTGATGTTTTGAATTTTATCCGTTGGGCAATCGGAAGCCAGTGGAGGGATTCGCAGAGAGGGGTGGCAGATATGGAATGGTTGGTAAGGTGGATGAATATGGCAGCAGCATTCATGATGGACTGAAGAGGGGATAGCCTGCGTTGAGGTCGGCCAATGAGGAGGGAGTTTCAATAGTCAAGGCAAAATAGAACAAGGGAGTGAATAAGCTGCTTAGCAGTTTTTGAGGTTAAAAACGGCCATATCTTGGAGATGTTGCGGAGGTGAAGTCTACATGATTTGGACAGCGATTGGATTTGGGGCTGAAAGGACAGATTGGAGTCTAGCATTACACCTAGTACCCTGGCATGAGGGGAGGGACTGATGTTTGTATTATTGGTCTTGATGGAGAAGTCAAGGGAGGGGCACGGGCTGGAGGGAATACTAAGAACTCAGTTTTGGAAAGATTGAGTTTGAGGAAGTGGAGTGACATCCATGCCGATATGTCGCTTAGTAGGTTAGTAATGCAAGAGAAGACTGAAGGGATGAGGTGAGGAGTAGAAAGATAGATTTGTGTGTCATCAGCATAGAGATGGTACTTTGAAGCCATGGGAGTTTATCAAGTGACCAAGGGAGGAGGTGTAGATGGAGAAGAGAAGGGGTGAAAGAACAAAACCTTGTGGGACCCCTGCAGAAAGAGGGAGTGGAGAGGAGGAGACAGAGTTATAGGTAACACTGAAGGAGCGCTGTGATAGGTAGGTGGAGAACCAGGAGAGAGCGGAGTCTTGCAGGCCAAGAGAGTGGAGGTTTTTGAGGAGGAGGAGATGGTCAACAGTATCAAAAGCTGCAGAGAGGTCAAGTAGTAAGAGTACGGAGTAGTGGCCATTAGTTTGAGCTGTTAGTAGATCATTAGTAAGTTTTAGCAGGAAGACCTAAAATTGTTTTAAAAAAACTCAGCAACATAAATATGTAGGAATATGGTCTTTGGAGAATGACAGTTTGACTCTGGCTGCTCAGAGTGGTCTGGGGCAGCCCTTCCAAAACAGTTTAACATTTAAAGCCACTGGTTAGTATGCCTACTAGTAAGATAAATTTTATATTTCTATATAATATTTTATTGAAAAAATGTGTTAAAATATAAAGAATAAGGGTTATTCACGTGATGAAAGCCATATATCTATATGAACAAGCTCACTGTTGAGTAAGCGACATACGTGGTAGGGAATTCTGTTGGAGTAAGTACAACTTAGAAAAGAATTAAGGATTGGACAACAAGAGCGCGAGACAAAATTCAAATATTTCAGTTAGTTTCAGTACTTAGTATTTATGTACTGTATTTGTTGTTTTATTGTGTTGTTCCCTAAAAATAGAAGGATTGGAGTCATGGTGAGCTATTTGATAAGGATCTAGAGAGTGGGGAAGAGGAGTGTATTTCCTTGTAACAAAGTTACAATGTTAGAGTCCTGAAGAAAGAGGAGCTTAGACACTGAGATATGTAATAGTGATCCTATATCATGCATATAAATTCCATAGCTGTCACCAGGAGAGAAATTTTGTGTGTGGGTGTGTGTATGGGGAAGATGCAGTTCCTTAAATTAAGTTGGTCAGGAGAGAACATTTTGGGGGTTCGGATGCAGTTTCCTTATGTTTTTCTTTTTTTTTTTACTTTGTATTGTTTTTATTAATTTATTTTAGCGAAGAGGCAGAAGCTCTTGCCAAGAGGTTAAAACTGCGGTTTTACAGGACATCTGTTAAAGAAGATCTTAATGTTACTGAAGGTGAGTGATAATGTCGGGTACATTAAAGTTTTTACATCCATCTGTGTGCAAGAAAAAGCCTTCATTGACCTGATGTTATTGAAGGGTATAGATACCCTGACCAGTTCTGCAGTTTCTCTAGATGTTTTGGTTTTTCTGGCTATAAACCTGTAATTGATTTGTCTACTTAAGCAGTTTTCACGTTCATTGTTTCAGAACATTGGCATACTGTGTTTAATATATTACCTGTACGTGTGATTATCGTAAGCTGATGTACGTACTAATATGGGAAACTGTATCTTTTGGTTATATTTCAAACCATAAGTACAACTTACAAGTTGCACTTTTTCAAAAATACCAGAATATGGTGTCCTAGTTATCCCAGTTTGCAGTACTTTCATGCCACAGGCAGAATTCTTTATAAACAAAAATGTACACCTAGGTAGAATTCCCCTGGAGGTAGAACAACGGTGCTCCAAAGCTCAGTGGTTTCCTGGCACTTTGAACAGCATAGGAGTATGAGATGAAGGTCTGGCAACTCGTTCTCCCGATAAAAGTACTTTATTCATAAAGGGTACAGTGTGCACATTACAGCAGCTTATGCGTTTCGGTAAATAAACTTCTAGCCAGTGGCTATGAATAAGGTTTTTACCGAAACGTGTAAGCTGCTATAACTTGCACACTGTACCCTTTATGAATAAAATACTTTTATCGGGAGAACGAGTTGCCGGATCTTCATCTTATACTTCTGTGCTATAATTATTTATAGTCCATTGGGGCACACATGAATTCTTAGACTGACAGGTTATGCTGCCACCTGCAAGAGAAATTGACATTGACAACAAAAAAAAAAGCTGTTGGCCAGCACAAGATAATCCTGCCCACAATCATGCCACCATTTTTTGCTAGACTCCTTAGAGAATCAACAAGTTTTCTTCTGCTATGCAGTTCTCTGCATATTTGGAAGTTTTTTCTGCTGTCAGCAGGTTACTGGTACATTAATGCTGCATAAATTTAATCCTGGAAGTGTCTCAAGTCATTCAGCAAGAACACGTGTTCCCAGTTTTATACTAGTGTTATCTCTGCAACAGCCCTAAATTTCTGGGAGTGTCTCCAGTCATTTGTAGCTGCCAATGAATTTTAGGTTGAATATAGAAACCCTGGTCAGCTCTCCAGTATGCCAAGCAGCACAGGTTCTAGTTTTTCTAAACCTGTGTTCCCTTTTGTCAGATTTTAAGTTGGCAGTGACTGCCATTTGTGCTGCAGTTAACAAAGGATTACACGTTTCAGGTCAGGCCAGTATGACGGGAATAGATTTCAGTTCAGAGCTGGGGCAGTTTTCACCTGACTCTGTCTCTGGAGACTAACCTTTCGTGACTGGATGTAGCAGACTAATGCTGTGTTGGGGATTATTTCCTTACTTTTATCTAAAATTGTCTGACGCAGTATTGTCAAAACAGATTAGCGGAGCAATGCGTGAAAGTGACTTTTTCCTTCACAACTCTGTTTCTTTTAAATAGTAATATTTTATTAGTGTTTTTGGAACAGAGACTATAGAAGTTGGGATTTGACAGTCTAAGGAAAAAAGCTTAATCCACAATACCCCAGGCCTATACAGTAGAATTAATCTAGTGCTGACAAGAAACAAAGAATGGTGGGCCAAGAGAATGAATGAAAAACATAAGAGAAGTGCAACCTAGCGCAATAAAACCTTTTATTTGGCTGATCTACCACACACGGAAGGTTGCTGTTACACACTGAGCTCCTGGTAGTGTGCTTCATCTTCAGCTACACATCAGAGGATCGCAGGTGGTCAGGAAGGAGTCGCTCTTAGAATGGGTTATCGGAGAGAGACTTCCATTGGACCAACAAAAGAAAGTAAAGGAAAGCAGGTTTTCCCACTATAGGTGCCATAGAGATGTCTGCAGAAGAGGCGGTACATATATAGGGAGGGCAGAATGGCAGGGACAGTCGATAGAAAAATCCAATGGAAAAGGAATAGAGGCAGAGGTGTTGGCATAGTCACCCCCTATGGACCAGAGCAATTTTTACATTTCTGCTATGGACCTGTTTATTCAGCGATATCTTTGTCATTACTAAAGATAACAAGTAATACATAGGGTAATAAAGCTAATACATTTCTTGTTTAAGGACAAACAATTCTTTCTTTTCATTATTTTGCTTTGCAAAAAAATTTTTTCACAATCCTTAGACATTAATATGCAATACAACTAAGCAAAAGACACTTTTTTTTTTTTTTTTTTTTTTTTTGAGCAGTGTTAATTTCAAAAAAGTGTTACTGCAGATAAAAAGCACACATTTAATCCTGTTTTTGTTTTGTTTAACCACTTGCCTACCGGGCACTTTTACCCCCTTCCTGCCCAGGCCAATTTTCACCTTTCAGCGCTGTCGCACTTTGACAGTGAATGTACCCATATGAAATTTTTATAATGTTTTTTTCACACAAATAGAGATTTCTTTTGTTGGCATTTAATCACCACTGGGTTTTTTATTTTTTGCGCTATAAATTAAAAAAAGGATTCTTTAATTCTGTTATAACATTTTGCAAATAAATAATCTTTCTACACAAATTGAGGCCAAAATGTATTCTGCTACATTTCTTTGGTGAAAATAATCCAAATCATTGTTTATTATTTAGTTGGTAGGAAAGTTTATAGCGTCCAAAAACTGTTCTATATCTAAAAATCGATAAATCATGATGTACTGATGGCCTATCCCGTTTCTTGAGGCCCCAAAACACCAGGACAGTACAAATACCCCCAAATGACCGCTTTTCAGAAAGTAGACAGTCTGAGGTATTTAGTAAGAGACATGATGAGTTTTTTGAAGTTGTCATTTTTTTTTTGTCATTTTGTGGAAAATTAAGAAATTAAAAAATATTCACAATTTTTTTTTTTTTTTTTTTTTTTTTTTAACCTACTGTCACAAGATTGCCGTAAACTAAGGGTTAATGAGAGGTTAAACAGAGGAACATTATTAAAAGAAAAAAAAGTCAGGTTGATTTTATCTGACATAATCTGCTAATCACAGTTTATCCCTTTGATCTGCAGATGAATGAACAAAATGATACAAAAGTTACTTTGCATCTTTCTGTATTCACAGAACAGTGTTGTTTATAAACACTGATTCAGACTGGTTTTTTTGACAGCTACAGCTTCCAACACCTTCTCTGAGTACACAGCATTCCTGGCTTGGATTAATTAAAGCCGACAATTGCTGCATATTATGAGAAGGGGTCCCAGTAGAAGGGCAGAGACACTGGACCTGCTACACATGTCATGTGTACAATGTAAAAAATTTTTGTGAGCATATCTAACATGCCCAAAGTCTAGAACTCCTTAAACAAAACAATATGGCCTAGCCAGGAATGTCTCTTGATGGACCAAATCGAGCCACTGGAATGGAAAGGAGGTGGGCCATGGAAGTGTTCTGTTTTGAGCTACTGATTTGTGAATATTTACTTTAAAATTGTTCAGTTGGGCAAATAGAATACTTTCAACATGGAGGGGAATTTAACCTGGGATTCAAGACATAAGGCAACATGTTATCCACATAGAGACCTGCTTTGTGATGGTGTCCTCCCATCACAAGGCCGTGAATTGTTTGATTTGGTCTTGCAAGATGTCCCTTAGCTAATATATACAGGTAAAGAGATGAAGGGCATTGGAGCCCATGGTGGTTCATTGAATCTTTCTGTCAGTACATCTGCTTGCTTCTACATCCTGTATGGACAAGCAGATATAATGACAGATCTGCAGGAGACCTGCATGGCACCAGTGATCTACTGATTGCTGGTGCAATGCTTTCTAGGCTCCTGCAAACCAAAAGAATAAATGCACATTTTATTACCTGCATTTTATTATTTTTGTGCAAAAGGTGAACTTTTAAACCTGTGAGGTACAGAGGTTGTGTGAGTCTTTATTCAAGAAACTTTGACGACGACATGTGTGTCTATGATGACCTATGCTTGCTTACATTTTTATGTACTTTACAAATTGGCCACATCAAGGAGCCCTCCTTTTTTTTTTTTTTTTTTTTTTTTTTTTTTCTTCTCTGGCTTGCTAGGGAAATTTTTTAGATTTCAAGTATTTTCTGGTTAGTATTCAGCTGTGGTGGGTTCTTTTGTTCAGTTGTTTCCCTGAAGATCCACATGCCCTGATGAAAATTTGAAAAAGTGCTCACCCCTTCGCTTTGAGCAACCAGGGGATTTCCAGTTTTCTCTATGGCCACTACAAGTTCTTTAGTGGGTACAGTATTAGCCACAGCTGTGTTAAAGGCCATTGTCTTTTAACTACCTCCAAACAGTGGAGGATTAGTTGGGGATCTTTACCTTTTTGACATGTTTAGTTTGGCCTTCAGTTCCTGTCTCTGGCAAACAGAAGTGGGTTGCTCTGTGTATACAAGTGCACTGCAGGGCATTGGCTGTTATGTGGGGCTCAATATGGTCTGGTTTAACTGTCCGCTGGGGGTTACCTCTGGCCCATGTGTCAGTAAAGTATAACTAAAAGCAAACCTTTTTAGTTTTGGATAGAGTGAAGAGGGATTAAAGCCCATGTCAATTTTTATTGCTGTAGGTGTCCCCATTAATAACAATTACCCTTTCACTTTCAAAGATAACCGTAAATAGGATAAATAGAAAGTAAAAGAAAATCCCAAATTTTGGGTTGTCCCCAGAAAAGTAATAGAGGTGAAATCTTCCAGTGGGGACACTACCTCTGGTGACTTGGGGGTCCCCAAGGAACTCCTCTTAATTTTCAGGGTTTTCCACTCACTTCCTGTTTGGCTATGGTTGCCTATAGTTCTGCTTTAAGTGTCTTCCCTTCTGCCACCCTTCCGCCTTCCCCTTCTCCCATTCCCCGTTAAATCTGACTGACATGCTGGCCTTTTCTGTGTTGGATTGATCAGTCCGTTGCTGGGCTTGTTATTGGAGCTGCACTCTATCCCTTCTCTAAAATAAGAATTGTTCAGACCCATTTAGGTCTTAGGCTTTTACTCCTGCATCTTAGAATTTATTTTTTCTTTATTGTGGCGCTTAGCAACACCCTTGTTATGTTGCTGAACTGCAGACTTCTTGTATCAAAAGATTTTGTTCTACATGGTCTTCAAGACACAGTGGGATTGATTTACTAAAACTGGAGAGTGCAAAATCTGGTGCAGCTGTGCATGGAGGCCAATCAGCTTCTAACTTCAGCTTGTTCAATTAAGCTTTGACAATAAAACCTGGAAGCTGATCGGTTTCAATGCAAAACTGCACCAGGTTTTGCACTTTACAGTTTTAGTAAATCAACCCCAATGTCTTTGGATTGTTTCTAGATATCAGCAGAAGAAGCCTGATGAATAGACTGCCAAGTTATCCCACCTCTCTGACTCTTAGTCATTTTGTTTCTCCAATTTCTGATTAAGACCCTTCAAGACAGGTCTACACATTAAGTCTGGCACACAAAATCTGCAAACAAGCTTTCCTTGGTGAACCACGATTTACACAGTGGGGTACGCTTGAAAAATATGCATCTCTGATGCTTGTGTGCAAGAAATGGGATCCCAGGACTATAAACTGGAGTTTTTCCTCCTACCCCCTCCTTTTCTTCTCACTTCCAACCTTCCTCTCTCACCACACAGATTGGCATTTCCATTGAGCTCACTTGGGCCTTCTGGATGAAGGTATCGTTGCCTTTGCTCTTGTGGTGGAACAATTTTAGGTGTGTTTTTCCTTCAACTTGTTCCCATACACAAAGAGAGCATTTGCAGATTAAACTGATTGTAAGTAAAATGTTAAATATATGCACGGTACATCTAGTAACATCCACATGTTCTTTTTCAGTTTTTAAATATTTGGCTGACAAGTATTTGCAAAGGCTAAAGCAACAGACAGCAGAAGACACAGAGGTTGTACACACAAGTGGCAACAAAATAGGTAAGGACCACTATTAAGGTATTTTATAAAGAGCAAACTCTAGTGAATGAAGTTGCACAGTTAAAATTGATGGATTGATGATTGGCCCTTTCATGATCAGTTGCATCTGTCAATATGCCTCTTTTTGTGCGAGACACAGTGATGGCTGAGAAAGCAGAATTGTCTCTAAACAATCCTGTGATTCCCGGTTATGCTGGTTACAAGACCAAGAGCCAGTTAGTATGTTACCCAATTGTTAGTGTGAGATCAGGGCTGTTGTTGACAGCTAGTCTCAGAACTAGAAGTGAACAGAGCTGCATGCTCCTAGTTAGTAGATTCTCTCAGTAGGGGGAAATGAAAACACTTAAGATGAGTGTATTTAACATTATATATTTATCTTATGTCATCAGTCTCACAAGGTGCATCTTTGTAGCCAAGTCCCCAAAGATGCATATTTTTGTAGAATTTTGTATGTAGACAATACATCAGTCAAAGGCAGAATTAGGACTTTGAAGCAGCATAACTGTATCAGGGACACACAAGTGAGTGCAATTTTATATGCTACACTCTTCTGTCCTCAGTCAACAAACTGTACTTTCTGACTTATTATTTAAGGCTGGTTCACACCAGATGTAGATGCATAGAGTGGTGCAACACAGTCCGCTAAAATGCATCACACTGTGGCCAGTGGAACTGAGTGAAATGTTATGTTGTGACATTTCAGTAAAGTTCTAACCCCCCCAAAAAAAGTTTCCATTGCCACTGCTGCCTTTGCATTACATATCAGTTGCTGTGCAGTAGTGCACACTGCTGGTGTGAACCAGCCCTAAAGATTTGATATAAAACAGTATCAGACTCCGCTGATAGTTAACATAGAGATGACCTACAAAGTGCATAAACATATTAAAAAAATAAATAAATAAATAAATCAACATTTGTTGTGCCCACCCTTTGGCTTAAAATGGCATGAATTCTTCCAGGAGCATTGTACACGAGTTCACACTAGCCTGTGATCTGAAAAGCAATCCATCACACATCGTTTATCAAAGTGCAGCTAAGCAGCCACTCTTAGGTGTTCAGGAGGTGATCCTGCAGTTTCCAGCATACCGGTTTTTATATTATATATATATATATATATATATATATATACTATATTTTATATATATATATATATTTGTTTTTCCCTTTGCCAAGCCGCAGTTTTATTAGGGCTAATGCGTCCCCAAATGCGAACCAAGCATTTGGCCTGCACTTGTGGTGCAGCCCTATTGATTTAATTGGCTGAGTTTGACAGGCGCTGCTGTCTGTTAACTCAGCATGGCAAATTAATTGTGCTGCAACTGCAATGCACCGCAGCCGCGGCATGTGCCTTCGCTGGCTTTATTTTACACTTTAGGTGGGTGGCCGGGGGGGGGGGGGGGTTTAAAACTGCTCACTACCACCCATGTGTCAGATGGCTTAGGCCCCATTCACACCTGCAGATGACCCAGTGCGGGTTCTTGGTGTTTAGCTGCGGGTTGCAGCCCCATTCTACACAATGGGAGGCTGACTGCACCCACAGCTAATCACGGGTGCTCGTATGTAATCACTCATGGAGCAATTACCTGTGATGATCAGCCCTGAACGCAGAAAATGACCATTGTGCCACATATTGTGTATCACCACACATGCTGAAGTGAGAGCAAAAATTCTACGCCCATCATTGAATGTTAGCTTGATGAGCTGTAAAGGCTTTCAAAGTGTCACCTTTGTACAATTTTGAGTACTCTCGCATTTCATCCTCGACACAACCTCATGTTTTATATTTTAGCTGAAAAATATTTTGTGTTTGTTTGCCCTAAAATTCACCTTAGTGTATTTTTACTGAAAATATGGGTTTAATAGACCGTTGTGCTAATACATCGTGACTTAAAAAAATTGTAGCTGCCAAGAGTTTATTCTCCAGGGTCTCTGCATTCAGAAGACATTGGGGGGGGGGGGGGTAAATCACAGGCCTAAAATGTGCATTTTAATGTGCAAAAAATGAAAATGCCCCATGTAACGAAAGGCGTGCATGTGGGCACACCAAATATTGATGTCGCTTTTTTTTTTTCTTTTATGGTTTATGCACGTTGTAGGTTGTTAATGCAATGAATAGTTTTTAGAAAAGCATCCACACTGTACAGCATTGTGTTACAAGTGCTCTTTTCACAATAATCACATTTTTCTGTGCTGTTAAAGTCTCATCTTTATCTTTTAGGGGTATTTAACACAGCAGGTGGCAGCCACTCTGGCCCAAAGGCTGATGCTATGAATGGAGGCAATGTAATTAGTCTAAGGCCAAACAAACAGAGGACCAAGAAGAACAAAAGTCCTTTTAGCAGTTGTAACCTGCTCTAGAACTGTTCTGTACACATAGCAAAAACAGGTGAACTGCAAATCGGGGACTACAGTGCAATTACTCTTAAACACAGGAATACAGCCACTTCCAGAAACAAGTCAAACTGAGGGTTACCTCCGAAGAATTATGTGGACTCTTATACCACCTAGTGTTTGACACTAGTATCACAATTTACAAACTTAAAGGTTTCTCAACAAAAGAAAATGCTGCCCAGTCCTGGTTTTTTTTTTTTTTTTTTTGTGATTCTGGACAAACCCATAAAATTGGTACTAACTAGTATTTAAACTGAATTAGGTATTTAATATAAGCGGTTATAGACCTAGTTGCAAATACCTTGGAATACCATGGTAAACACTACTGGTACCTGTGCAATATTATTCTAACACACAAGATATTTCCTACAGTCTATCAGTCTTTTATGTCATCCCATCAAGGATGTTTGCCATTTTCATTAAATCTGATCCTTACATTTTTTTCCCCATATTTTAATAGTCAGTTCTAAACGGATGTGCTGATATAAATGTTTTGGGACCTTTATGAATGAAATGATGTGCATAGTGCCAAACTCCTTGACATTGCGCTGCTAATATAAGTTTTGGGTTTGTTTTTTTTTTGTTTTTGTTTTTTTTTTAACTCTACTATTCATCAAATGTTATGTTCACACACTGCAATAAGAGGATGGTATGAGGCTGCTGGCCTACAACTGCAGAGTGCTATAAGAAGGTATCATTTAATGATTATCCTATCCAAATGTAGATGTTTGAGACATGCTGGTAAATACATGTGGGAAGTCACCAACTCCTAATGTCTATTAGTCTGTTGTCCAGGTGGCAAAAAAGAGCTTCTATAAAGTACTGTAAAAAGCAATCCTATTGACTGGTGGTGGAATCTTGTTAAATGAAAGTACTCATGCAGGTGTCTGAAGATGAATGTAGATGCAGTCCTGGTCTATTAGATAATCCCAAAAAGATTTTCAACATACTGAACTGTGACCTTCATTGCTTATATCTTTCTACATTGATAGAGGAGGTGGTGCAGGTCCAGCAAAGCAAATTCTACCAAACAACCACTGTTTATTTCTTCTGTGACTATTGTTCACGTTTATTAATATTACACAAATTGTGAAGGACAGACTCTAGTGTCTGTGGCCATACTTTGAAGGGTTTGTCTATCCTAAAACTGACATGGGTGTGCTATTCAACCACCTTGTCTTTGACACTACAGGGATAAAATCTTCCTACAAGCGTGGGTGGCCGTTCGCCATGCAGTGTCAATCCTCCTCTTACATTGTTCGTGATTTAAAGTCAAATCCTTCAGCAGTTCCCTAAGTAATGTCTGCATAGGTGGTTTGATCTAGCAACTTTGATTTTAATGTGCAGAAGGGAATTCACCAGATCTGTCGGTTATTACTTACAACTATCTAAATCTGCAATGTTAATTTTTGGTGGACTCATCATATCAGACATTCCTTCGTGTCTTTGTCTTGATGTTTTGTATAAACAAATTTCACAAGGAAGCCTTGTGTAGTTCTTGAGTGGCCTAATTAATTTTACAGTTCTTGAAAAACTTTTTTTTTTTTTCTTCTTGCCTTTTATTTAGTATTTGTACGCTAAAATGTCTTGCTTTACAGCACAACCTGATTTGAATTCTGAATTGGGTTGTATCTAGCCACATCCTCGGTCATTGTCAGATTATCATGTCTTCTTGTAGATCTGTCTTGTGTAACCTATACATATAACTAAATGAAGTTGGAATGCTTTGGCCAGATCATCGCCTTTCTATATTGCTTTTAAAAGGCATTTGGAATATTGAGTATCAATTCCTCTTTGTGACAATGTATAGTAAAGTTTAGTGTGATTGGAGGGTGGCTACATGTGCTAAAAATATATAGATATAATTAGACAAACTGGATATAATTTAATAACAAGCTATACTGAATGACATTTTAGAAGTGGGGCACCACCAAGACCTTCCTGTTAAATTATTTTTATAAGCTTGTTAACACCATTCACTGTAAGAAGTCAAATCTTTACAATGCCAGTTACAGTGAAAACCAGCGCAGGACTAGAGAATGCCCACCAGAACCTACTGGATGATCATTTAAGTAGTCTGCTAGTTTCTAAAATACATTTACAAATACTAATTGTTTACATCCATAGAGGTGCATGGTTGCATATATTTTTTTTCTTTGGCAGTGTTTGTCAGTGGATGGACAGCTTAAGCTTGAGAATGGCTAACGCAAAGACAAACCTCAACTCAGGTGCACTTTACTTACTAAATTTCCAAACCAGCCCACACAACAGTCTGGAATCTGCAGGGCAGAGTTTTAATATGCACGGTATGTTCTGCATGTACAGAATCCGTGTGAGAGCTGCTGCAACCATTAATCGTTTAAATCCCACAACTGATTGTAGTGTGGATAATAAGTGTTCCTTAAGGCAAAACCTTTGTTCAGTTATTATTTTTTTTTTTTTTTAGCTTTAGATAGAGTGGAGAGGGATCAGAACACTTGTCAAGTTTTTATGGCTATCTATGCCCCAATTAGGGAGGTTCACCTTCTGTTTACCATTCTTTGCAAGCGAAAGTAAAAAAAAAAATCCTAAACTTTGAGTTGACATCAGAACACTAACAGAGGGGAAATCTTCCAATGGGGACACTAGTTCTGCTGACACTCCTGAATTCGCTCACTTTGGAGGGAATTCCTGTTTTGGCTATGGGACTGGAAGTTTCCAGGTTATAGGGTATAACTCTCCCTTTCTCTGTCCAAAATGGAAAAAAAAATAATTTTGCCTTTAGTTACACTTTTAAAAGGATTTCATGGTAAAATGACTTGTTAGAATGGTTTGAAGCAGAATCCAAGTTTGCATATCTGTATATTAACAATGGAATATTTATTATCTTGTATAAATAAACCACTTTGAAAAACTGACGTCTTTTGTCTGTAGCTTTTTCAACTTTTTACCAAGTAGTCTTTAAATGCCAATCCATACTAAATAAAAGCTCCAACTACTATCAGCTAGATGTGTGCGAAAATGCAGTTTAACCTTGTGCAAACAGTTGATTTTTTTTTTTTTAATTTTTTTTATTTATTTTTTTATAATGAATTTTAGTTGGGGCATTTTTCTTCAAGGCAATAAATAATGGTCACAAGTGAATTCTTGTCAAATATCCTTTTATTCAATATTTTCAAAGTACATACATTAGTGTATGTAATTATGGTAATCTCAAGTTTATCATTCATTTTTCTTTCATTCTTTGACAGAGACAGCTTCTCTCTACTTCATATTCAAGACTGATAGGGTTTTATAGCACCACCTACCAGGAGTAAGACACTAGGCATAAAAGAACTTGGGGGGCACCTCCTATGGGCAACCCTTACTGGAAAACCCCTCCCCTCTGCATATGCAATCCAGTCATTTCTCTCTAGTGTTTCAGGAGTAAAGACCTAGTTCCCTGCTGGGATCTGGGGTTCCATATCTTTTTTCCTTTATTTCCTGCAGAGATCATCAGTTAACGGCCAGACTGGGTGATAGACTGGATAATCTAGATACAGTGGTCACGCCAGTCTGACTAAAGAGTGCATGTAGACCTATGCTATGCGCTGGGTTGGCTGTGAAAGCCCACTCCTGGACTGGAGCGGTCAGCGAGCTAAACGTCTCGTGGGGACACATGACTGGGCACCAGAGTTCATGTTACCCTGGCCAACAGCTGCCCCACTTCAGTGGAGAGGAGGATCTGTTGTTGGAGCCTTTCCCTCAAGCTCTGCTGGAACAGGAAATAGCTGCCCCCCTCTTTGGAAGCAGTGTGATAGAGGGTACTCCCTGGGGTGAGCATTCCGGTGGGGCCCCCTCTTCTGGCAAGGTAGCATCGAGGGATTCTATCCTGGAGTCAGAACTGTGCTGGGCAGCCACCGTGCTCTCCATATGGCTGGCGGCAGCCATTTTCATGAGGCTTCAATGGCCATTTCCTTGTAGCAAGAAGGCAGTGGCCATTTTTTCAGTATACCTCTTCCATTGAGATGCATGGGAGCTGGTTGGGGGGGGCATTTTCTTGTAGCTGTGCAGTGGCCATCTTATTTTACCTCCACACTTGAGGCAGGCACATTCTCCTACACGCAGGCAGCAGTTTAGCACTCTGGCAATTTGTCCTGCACCTGGATGTATTCCAGCAGATCTGCCTATGCTGGGGGATGCCACACATGAACCTGCAGGCATCACACCTCAACAGGAAGGTCCAGAAGTTGTGACAAGGGTGAAGTATCCCATGAAGATTGTGCTGGTGGTGTTGTGGGATCAGTATGGTCTCATTCATGCCTTTCCTCCTCTCAAGTTGCACCCCTGCATGCTTCACAGACTAGAGATTAAAAGGATTATGGTCATTCTGGTGGCTCTAGATTGGCCCCATTGTCTGCAGTACACGGACATGGTCTAACTGGTTGTGGACACTCACTAGTGACTGCCTTTTAGGAGGACCTTCATTCCCAGGGTCAAGTCTTCCATCCTGTTTTGCTGTCTTTGGCTTTGACGGCTATGGAAAGGGACAAGGGGTTGCTGGGTTTCGTGATTCCCACGAAGTTGAAGGCTTGTAAGGCTACATGCACACTTGAGCGTTTTGTAGCTTGAAGCTCGACACTCCAAAAATGCTTGAACGTAAAAAAATTATTTGTTCTCTATAGTGCCTGTTCGTGTGAATAGGCACCATAGAGAACAATTCATTTTTTTAAGTTTGAGTATTTTTGGAGCTTTAAGCTACATAAGGCTAGAGTCTACCTCTTGGAAGATAAAAAGGCTAAAATGAAGAGGGTGCTGAGTCAAAAAAATACAAAATTTTTAAGTGCACAAAGTCAAATGAAAAACACCAACAGATGGTTAAGGCGCTGAGAAGCGTGTATGCTTGAAGAAACCATGAGGCTGTTAATAAATTACTTTGACAAATGCCTGAAGTACAGGTGAATCACTATTTTCCTGCCAGCACGTCAGTGTGGTCTGTAATTTTTAGT